ATAGTTAAAAGCAAGGTCTGGATCCACAAGCAGTACTGCAGAGGAGAAAAGTACAACCCAGCAATTCAGGCATGTCTCACCCCAGTTCAAATGACATTGTTTCAGTTCTGGCTGCCTCGCCCCTCCGTGGGTAATTACAGACTTTCACTATGGGGGAAAGAGAGACACAGCGGAGGAAACCTTCATTAGAGACTCATCTCCCAGAGCAAAAGAAACCCCAGTGTAACGTCTGCGGCACTTTGCCAGGATCATCCACCAAGACAAAAAGCGTACATTTAGCACAAAAATAAAAGGGGGAGAAGTGTTAAGAGATTTGAGAAGATCAGAAGCCCACCACGTTGGCTGCTGTACAGCACTGGATGTGGGGAGCTTTTAGGAGGAATTGGCAATGCGCCCTGCTTTTAAGCAGTGTGGTTTGCATCTTACATTCTTCCTTCCTTCCTCCTTTGCCGCGTGCTTATGTCCCCTGATGTCTGTGTGTGTCCCTTTGTCACCCCGGCAAATGCCAGCAGGCAGGAAGGGAAGGTTTCCCTAGGCACCCAGCCTTCCTCACAGGAGGACTAGCCTCCTTTCCTTTCAGAAATTTGTAGGTGGAGGTGTCCTTGGCTGAACCCCTTCCCTTTTGCACATCTAACCGACAATTAGGACACACACTAACGCATGGGCTTCTTGTATCCAAAGCAGAGGACTCCTTCTCACCATTGTTGTTTGTCTTTCCGGTATCGCCAGGACCCACAGTTTCAGCTCTGTTATATGTAAAAAGCACAAAAGAAATTCTTAATTCTGAGTAGGTCATTCCTCTGTTACAGAACAAGACCGCTTCCCTGTCGCCATGGTGTAGCTCTCCAAGGTAGGGTGGTTGTTCATCTGCTGACAGGCAGCTGGCACCTTCTATAGCAAATACAGTCTCATTCCCACTGCTTTCTTCCTCATCCCAGGACTTGTAGTTTACGTCAGCAAACGACATAGATCCAAGCATAAATTACTATTCTTACCCCCGGGCGCTCGCACGTGTGAGGCTTGTAACTGCTCCTTATGGCACAGTTACATTAGTTTTTATGGAAGAGCTCGTTTCAGTAGTAGTTTATCTGCGGAGCCCATTTTCTGTTGCTGGTGATAACACCTTGTTCTTGCAGGATCTGGCGTTTGATGCTGTATTAGAAAGGTCCTTTTAAACCAAGAGGCCTTGTCACCCACCACACAGCTCAAGGCAGGGATGAGGAAGGAAGAGGAGAGGAAAAGGGTTCAATCAGATTGCTATTAAGATGTGTCTGGGGTACCGGCTGAATTTTAATTGTTCTTTCCTACTCAGTGAGTGAGCACAGGAAAAGATTTACCTTCTGGCCTTTCCATTTGGGCATGTTGACATTTCCAGGCGGCACTCTCCTCTGATGGAGAGGTTTGACGTCAGGTGGGCTGATTAAAGCCTGCAGTGCTTCTGACTCATTTGGCTACAGCCTGCGCAAGGGGGATTTGTAACGTGTCTCTTCTCTTTCTATCACTCGTTATGGTTGTTTTTAAATAAATAAAGCTAATCTCAATTCACAACTTCAGGGAAGATGCAGTTCTGCTCAGGCTCGAATAGGCATCGCCATGGCAACAGATGCTGTCAGGCACATGCAAAAATGTCACTCTGAGCAGCAAACTCCCCTGCCCGGCCCTCCCTGCCTGAGCCAGCCGGCTCCTGCCGCATGCTCACCCCGAGCCGCGCGGGGCTGGGGCTGGCAGCGCGAAGCTGGCGCTGCCCATGAGGCCTGGGCGTGCAGCCATGCTTGGGAGCTGATTGCCCATGTATGCAGCCCAGGTCCGGCCTTGCTGCTCTCCCAGCCTCAGAAAAGCTCACCCGACCTGGCCAGCCACCCTCTTGCTTAGCAAGAGCCACTTTGGGTGAAGTCCTGGTAACGGCGGTTTGCAGAGCTCCCTGCTTGACCGGCAGGGAGCCGGTCCAGGTAGAAAGCCATCGTGTGGCTTTTTCAACCTGCAAAAAGGAACAGAGGGTCTTCCTGGGTCCATGAGTCTCTGACAGCTGCAGCCAAGCACGTATCACAACCCTTTTCATGCACTGATCAAGCTCCAAAATAAAAGAGATAAAAATTATCAGCTGCCTTCCAGAAGCCCCACTGAGGAAGGCCCTCACCCCTGCTAGATAGAGGCCCTGCAAGGAAGCAGAGATGCAAAGAGCAGATGTGGTTTCTCAGGCTCACTGAGGCGGGTAGGCAAGGCAAGGCAAGGCAAGGCAGTGGGGTTTCTGGCTCCTCTGTCCTGCAGTGCCCATGCCCCCAGTTTGCTGAGCACAGCCCCTTCAGTGCTGCGTGTGCTGCACAGCTCTTGACTCATCAAGAGCTCGAGTATGACAGCAGCCCAGACGTGAAGCACAAGGCATGCCCAAAGACAGCATTGCTAAGGAAAAGGCTCTCTCAAGTGCTCAAGAACTCGCTGCCCACAGCAATGCGCCTGTGCCTATAAGGTCAGCTGATCTGCAAGAGAAATGAGAGGTTCTGCTTTGTGTGGCAAATAGGGCTAATGGCTGATTGCCAGATCTTTCTTTCATCCGTAGTCTCATGACATGTAATGCATTTCTTAAAGCCTCGGCTCCTGGAGTCCTGGGAACGAGGAAGCTTCTCATCTTCCTTGCTCTTTTTCTTGGGAAAGGTTCTGATGGTTGCAGGGAACAATGGAAAATGCAAACACCCCAGCTGGGACACAGGCAGGCAAATAGAGGAAGCCATCACTTATTGCTTTTTAATCCTATTTTAGACCACCCCATTGACTGAGGCCTGAATCATGGTTTTCATTTGGAACACGGGGGAACACAGTACACGCAGGGAGCCACCTGAGCGCTCTCCCTCTGCCCTTAGCGGAGGCACAGTTACAACAGCAAATGGCTCTCCCAGCTGTGAAAGGCTGCTCTGCCCAGACAGCTCCG